AGATAAAAGGAACCAGTCCAACACATTTGTTTTATGAGCACACCAAATCAAAAATGACTCCTAGGTTCCTCACAATGTCTCTGGAGGCCAACATATCTGGTTAGACACCATGTTTATCAGATTTTTACGGTCAAAAATAACAATCTCAGTTTTGTCTGAAGTTGGGGTATCAGATCCTGACAACTTTGTTCTGAACTGAGAATAACAAGCGAGCTGCGTAGTAATGTTGTGTCAAATCAATTATTCAATTACCCCAAGCACTTCTTGATAAATTACTCAAGGCACAGACGCTTGCTGGGGGTACATGCTCAAACTTGTAGCGAATACCACAGCACTGCAAATTATGAATATACTCTCTATGCGAGGTACATACAAAATATATGACGACTTCTAACCTTTGTACTAACTCGCACTTTAAATCAAATTATTAAAACGCTCAATTTTACTGTTAGCTAACTAAACCACCTATTAGTGAAATTGACTCAAGGCAGGTTATCAAACATATGGATATAACATTAGTTACTGTGTAGCGTAAAATATATAGGGCAGAGTCGTTAAGTTTAACACTTATCAAAGAGCATGAATGAATGCCAATAATGTTAACAAAACCGTTAGGCTGCATTTTGATGCTAAACTCGCGAAGCTAACCATGGTGGCCGTCTATGGTTCATACTTCCGCTGGCACACGCATTTCACTTATTGTGACATTTAGGAGTCCGAAGACGTGAAAGAAGATATAAACACGCACTTCCAGAGGTTGCCGTTGACTTACTTTGTGTGGCAGTCACTTTTAAATCGCACAGTTTCGACCAACAACTCACTCCTGCTTGTATTGTTCGCGCGTGCAGTTTGTGGAAATGATGTATTCTGGGACAAACAGCTATGATTGGTTAATGTGTGACATACGACACTTCCGGACTAGAAAGGAATGTGGTAGGGCCCCTACAAAGGGTTTACTAAACCGCGTGTGTCCTTTAATCACAGTTTTTATTCGGTTAAGCTCTGCAAACGCTGAAAATATACTGCTAATCCAAAGAAGACGAGTGTTATGCGGTACCGTTATGATACAAAGTATGAGTTTGTGCCACTTGCTGTTTTGCTCCATGAAGAAAACTCACGATTTAGCCTGCCTAATTAAAAAAAAAAATAAATTAATTCAACAATCAGTTAATTTTACTTGATATGCGCAAAGAAAAGGTAGCCATCAGATTTTGTAAGTTACTGCTTTTTTGTTTATTGTGTTGGTTGTTTATGTACACTCGTAAGTATAATGCAAAAATAAATAAGTTTGATGAAATAAAAGAAACAAATAAATCGTTTTAACAATTAATATATTTAATCACAAAATTGAAAACTAACAAGGAAGATAAATAAAGACAATAAATAATAGAAAGATTGTTTTAAAAAGCAGCTTGCAAGTAAATTACATATAAATCCATGACACATGATCTACACTATGTTGGCTTATCTGCATTGACATGCTTATGAATTTTAGTGACATCCTCCTCTTAATCCATAGGGTTTAATATGATTGCAGCTATAATACCGTCAACTCTTCTGGGAAGGCTTTCCCTAAGGTTTAGGAGTGTGTTTATTGGGATTTCTGAACATTCAGAAATCTGCAGACTCCAGAAGTGCATCTGTGAGGTCAGACAATGATGTTGGACAAGAAGTGCTGGTTTGCAGCCTCTGCACTAATTCATCTCAAATGTGCTTTGCTGGGTTGTGGTCAGGACAGGCCAGTCAAGTTCTTCCACACCAAACTCGCTAATCCTTCGCTTTGTGCACTGGTGTGCAGCCAGGTTGAACCAATTTGTTCCCACAAAGGTATGAGAATGAAATTGTCCAAAAAGTCTTGGTATGCTGAACCATTTAGAGTTCCTTTAACTAAGGGGCCGATCCCAACTCCCAAAAAACAACTTTACACCATACACCCCCCCTCAACCAGATTTTACACTTGACACAATGCAAACAAGTACTGTTCTCATGGCAACTGCCAAACCTAGACTCCACCATCCGATTGGCAGATGGAGAAGCGTGATTTGTCACTCCAGAAAACACATCTCCACTGCTCTAGAGTCCAGTGGCATGTTTTACACTGACACTTTGCATTGCACTTGGTTATGTAAGGCTTGGATGCAGCTGCTCAGCTATGAAAACCCAATCCATGAAGCCCTCTACACAATGTTTTTGAGCTAATCGTAAGGCCACATGAAGTTTAGAGGCCTGTAGGGACTGACTCTGCAGAAAGTTGGCGACGTTTGTGCACTATGTGCCTTAGTGTCCGTTGACTCAGCTCTGTGGCCTACCATTTTGAGTTGCTGTCATTCCCAATCCCTTACACTTTGTTATAATACCACTAACAGCTGACTGTGGAATATTTAGTAGCTGGACTTGCTGCACTGGTGGGATCCTATCACAGTACCATGCTGAGTTTCAGTGAGCTCTTGAGAGTGACCCATTCTTTCACAAATGTTTGTAGAAGCAGTCTGCATGCCAAGGTGCTTGAATTTATACACCTGTGGCCACGGAAGTGTTTGGATCACCTGAAATCAATCATCACAAGGGGCGAGTTAATACTTTTGGCAATGTAGTCGAAGTTAAAACAGACATTTATTTGAGATATTAGTTGTGACGCTTTCAAGGAATATAAATTTATTAAATTCACACATAAGTAAGTCTCTAGATAAGACACGTTTAAGTAATCCACATGCAGGCAAAACTTAGCACTTACTGCAACAACATAAACATACTGCCTCAACGAAACAAGTTATTTAACACATTTTGATGTAGTTTAAATCATGCCCATGCACATTTGATGTCCAAGCATTTCAATATTTACTGAACCCATCAAAAATAAATTAAGGCCTGCAATTTAACAATGTATATAAGTTAGTAAGTTTCAGTTTTATTTGTCACTTCAATCACAGAACAAAACCCTCCTTGTGTTTTCTTCACCATGAAAGCTAAGACAGAAATTTCACAGGGTTGATACTATGAATATAAAAGACTGAATTATACGTGAAATACAACGGCAGGGGGTCACTCATAAAACAGTTTGTTACATAAGCGTCTAATTTGTCTCAAAATGGCACACCGTGCAGTTCCACGATAAATGAAATGAACATTTATATTTAGGGCCTGTGCTACCACCACAACTGGTAGCACAGTCTCTGAAACAATCTCTGTTACAAACAGTCTCTGAACAGTTCACAGTCTCTGAAAGTGTATGGAAGGATGAGTAGAATCCTTATGAGAGGCATTCCGTCCCACCGTGTAACACATCACTTCAAAGTTTACTTTAGGCATTTTGTTGGTTTGAGGTCCGGTGAGTCTGAAGGCCACAGTATGGTCACACATGTTTTATACTTAATAAACAACTAATATGATTCAGCAAAGGTTTTGACATGTCACAGAAAACAGGTGCAAAAAATAAAACGAATAATGACTATTCTTGGTGTCTGATGGCTCATTGAGACACCTGAACTGAACAACCCCAACCACACTGGTCCTTCTAAAACATTGCAATACCTGTCAAATGACCACTCATGCCTTATAAATATATCGGCATTTACTATGGTCCTCCACTCTTTCATTCTGTTTTCCCTTTATCTCTGGTCACCACTGTAGGTGTTGATAATACTGCAATATGGATTTCTTCTATGATTCCAGCATAAATTTAAAGTGTTAAAATGTTTAACTGGCAGTAATTCTATAAGTCACAGTTAAGCTAACACCTGCTGGATTTATGTCATAATAACAGGATACAGTAAGATAGTATATGGCATGAAGCATGAAATTCTGAAAAAGCAACAGTTAAGATTAAATGCACCTCCTTTTTCAGTGTCTTTATACGAACACTTCACTTTAAACCACTGACAAAACGTTGCACTTTAAAGGTATTTTTTGTTATGCAAATGTTGACTACAATTTTCACCACTGCAGGCAGCATTTTACCAGTGGGTGTGTTGAGATTTTTTCTTAGGTGTTGTGCATTTCTTTTGACTTGTGATATTTCTTTTAACCCTTACTTTAAATTCCTCAAAAAGTTTTGCTTTTTCCGCACCACCATTGTTTATAGCAGCGATTCCCAAAGTCAAGAGTGCTTCAGCCCAATTAAAAACTAGAAGATCCCATGGGGCACACCCATTTTAAAATTTCACTTCAATTAAAATACAATAAAAAAAGAGATGTATTTCCTTGAAAATGTTATTCAAAAAACATAAACAGGCTTTTGGCTAGAAATTGCTAAAGTTACCAAGTCATACGTAAAATACTATGGTCAATATGGGACCCACCTGCTACTGGGATATAAACTTCAATACAAGAGAAGCAAATATAGGTTGGATTAATAAGTAATATAACAAACTAACCGCATCTTATCATTTTTATTCACTTTTTAAATAAATAAATCCATTTTACAGAATTTCTGTACCTGTAGTACACTCGCAGCCTATTGTGGCTCCAGCCCACACTTTGGGAATCTGTTTCATAGTAATGCGTCAATGACTAATGCCTGTTTTCTACAAGTACCTGTTTGACTGGACTCGACCTTGTTTTTAGGGTTTGTCATTAGGTGCAAATGGAAAGGTGAAACCCAGCAACAAAAACCAACACCGTGGTTTCCAAGTCTGAGAAAAACCCATAGACTTATAGACTTATACCACTCCTTCGATGTCCTCCATCGTTGTTGTCTTTGTCAGATAACAATGACGTTGTTATAACGACCCCATGCACACTGAGGTGGAAATGAGAAACTGAGTATAGCAAAGTTGAGTTGAGCCAAAGTTGTGGAAACAAGGCTTCAATGACTTGCTGGGCTGACTGATTGCACCATGTTATGTTACATACTGGTATCATACAAAAGTACAGTTTCGTCCTAGTTTAAGTTCAGTTAATATTTATTTAACACAAAACATAGATTTTTTTTTACATAAACTTGTGGTGAACTTTTTTTTTAAACATATAAATTTACAATAAATAGCTTTAAGCTGCTTTTTAAATGGATCTATTGACATTAAAGTAAGAACAAACAGCAACAGTTTGTCTTACAACTGTACAGTTTATGTAAGAAGGATCCTTTAGGCTGAAGCATCAGTGTCACACAGAGTTGCTCCTGCAGGTTAGAGGCACAGAGGTATGGGACACTTCAATGTGCACAGTGGACATGGGATATTGCTCACACTCTTCCTCTAGTGGGAAACAGCGGCAGTGTAGGAGCACCTCGCTCACCTCTTGCCTAAAGTTGGAGTTCAGGAATCCGTAGATGACGGGGTTAATGCAGGTGGAGGACATGGCCAGCAGGTGGCAGAGGGAGAACAGCAGGTTGTGGTGACAGACGGGCAGAGCCTCCTGGTTCCAGTCTGACACCACGTTGAAGATGGTGAGCGGAAGCCAGCAAAGGGCAAAGACTGTTATGAGAGCAACCAGCATGATGTTGATCCGGCGGCTGTGGGTCATGCGCTGGCACTCGGGGGTCCGGGCGCGGTCCAACATTTCTTTGCGGTGACGGAGCCGCACAATAACTCTAACATAACAGAGCAGGACCAAAAACAGTGGCCCACAGTACTGGAACAGCAGAAGCCACGTGGTGTAAGCGACTCTGTGACCCTGGGATGGCCAGTGCTCCACACAGGCTTCCATATGTGAAGAGGTGGGGACGTAAGAAAAGAGGGAACGGTATGAATTTTGAAGCGCAGACAGGTTTTTGTATGTATGAGTAGGAGATGTGTTGAGATAAGCATGAGGAAAATCTTGGTCATGTACCGATGACACGGGCAGGATTACATTGGTATAGGGCTCATTTGTGAGCAGCTGAAAGGCTAAGAAAGGCAAAGATGTGAAGCAGGCCAGTATCCAAATGAGAACAATCGCCATGTAGGCCTGAGGAACACTTGGTTTCCATCCAGAGGGGTTAATGATAAGCTGGTGCCTTTCTAAGGCGATAAACACTAGAGACAGCACTGACACACTCACAGAGACACACTGGATGAACGGCACCAGGCGACATAACAGCGAGCCAAACACCCAGTGGTCCATGATTGTGTATATGACAGTGAAGGGGAGGCAGAAGACACATACCAGAATGTCAGAGAATGACAGGTTGCAGATGAAAATGCTGGTGACATTGACCTTTTCTCTGCGGCGGGCAATGATGCAAATGAGGCCAATGTTGCCCACCAACCCTAGCACCATTGTAACACTGTACCAGGCTACAAGGCATGCTGTCAGAACAGGAGACATGTGGCACTGCTCATCATGCTCCAGAATGGTGAAGTCTGAGAGGAGCTGGGTCTCATTCCCTGGCCAGTCCTGTACAGACCCATGGCTGGCTCGCTCTTTCTCCCAAGCTGAGGATTGTGGAGGGGTGGAGCTGTTGAAGATCAAAGGAAAAGGTGACGCTGACAAAGAAGACTGGGTTGTGTTGCCACTCAAGGACATCTCACCAAGACTGAAGTGTCACCAGCACCATGGATCAAACTGTCCATCCCAGCCCTCTGAAAACATGCATCTGAAACAAAGAGAGAAATCACAGATTCATGAAATGCATTTATTCTACTGCTCTTATACTATAGAAGTCAATTAATGTGTGTATGTAGGAGTGATACTGTTGCTATAAATGAAGGAGAACTAAGCTGATCCTGTTTCTAAAAAATAGAAACTACATGTGTGAGGAATTAGTGCCTGATAGAGTTGAAGGAAGTTCAATTATATGTACAATAAATGTTTGATGGGGTGGAACCATCAGCGTAGCTTTGTGCTGAACATTGGGGGGGAGGGGGGGGGTGTCAAGATCTCTGTCTAAATAAATAAAAAATCTGGGTAAATTCCCAGATGATTAAATATGCTACTATATTGCTGGTAATACCTGAAATGAGTAAAGAAAATCAGCCTATTTATGCAAGATAATTCATAATTTTATTGGTGGTGGTGGGGGGGTTATATTGGTTGCGTCTGATTATGGTAAATGGCCTGTATTTATATAGCGCTTTACTAGTCCCTAAAGACCCCAAAGCGCTTTACATATCCAGTCATCCACCCATTCACACACACATTCACACACTGGTGATGGCAGCTACAGCCACCCTGGGGCGCACTGACAGAGGCGAAGCTGCCGGACACTGGCGCCACCGGGCCCTCTGACCACCACCAGTAGGCAACGGGTGAAATGTCTTGCCCAAGGACACAACGACCGAGACTGTCCAAGCCGGGGCTCGAACCGGCAACCTTCAAATTACAAGGCGAACTCCCAACTCTTGAGCCACATTATTGGGGGGTCATAACCCCTCTAACCCCCCTGGAAATTACGCCCCTGGGTGGAACAGTGGTTGGCACTGTTGCTTCAAGGCAAGAAGGTTGCGGGTTCAGGCTGAGGCCTTTCTGTGTGGAGTTTTTTATGTTCTCCTGTGTCTGCACGGGTACTCCGGCTTCCTCCCACAGTCCAAAGACATGCAGTTAGTCAGGTTAGGTTAAATGGTGAATCTAAGTGATGAGAACATGTTTGTCTGTCTCTTTGTTAGCCCTGCGACCGACTGAGAACCTGTCCAGGGGTTGGTAAGCAAAAGAAAATGGATGAGTGGGTTACTATGAAATGTTTTACTAACATTCATGGGTCCCCAGAGCAGAAATCCTAAACACTATGATGACTCATTGGCTAGTTTGCTGACTTCAAATTCGTAGGGGCTCTTTGGTGTAGCAAGGATATCAGGACTGCGAGTAATGGATGGTCTGTGTGAGTCATTGCAGTCACTTTATGGTCAATCTGTGTCTACACAAGATTCATTCAGGCCCACTACTGAGTCGTATATTACCTGACATTTTGGAAGTCCTCAGATCCCACTAAACAAGTAGTATTACATTCACTGGCCTCATTTATTAGTTACGCTTTGCCAGTACAAGGTTGGTCCCCCGTTTGCCTTTGGAGTGCATTAATTCTTCATGGCAGAGATTCAACAAAGTGCTGGAAAAATTCCTCAGAGTTTTGGTCCAAATTAACATGATAGAGTCACACAGTTGGTGCAGATTCTTTGGCTGTGCGTTTATCTTCCATTCCACCACATCCCAAAGGTGCTCTATTTCTGAAATGATGCATATTTCTGCTGTAAGCAGCCATCTGAGTATAGATGCAATATGGTCATAAAAAACATGATCATCAACAATACTCGGGTAGGCTGTATTATTTAAATGATGTTTAGTTGGTATAAAGAGGCCCAGAGTGTACAAAAAAAATATCCCCCAAGTAATTTCGCCATTACTAGGCAGGATAGATCTTTATTGTGTTTATTTATGTTTATTATGCAAAATTCTGACCCATCAAATTTTTTTCATCAGACCAAGCAACATTTTTCCAGTCTTTTCCTGTCCACTTCTGGTTAGCTTGTGTGAAATGTCAGCTAAGAAGATTCCTTGCATTCCTCTTCTTAGCTGACAGGAGTGGCATCTAGTGTGGTCTTCTGCTACTGCCTATACCAGGGGTAGGGAACTCCAGACCTCGAGAGCCGGTGTCCTGCAGGTTTTAGATCTCACCCTTGATCAACACGTCTGAATCAAATAATTAGTTCATCACCAGGCCTCTGGAGACTTCAAGACATGTTGAAGAGGTAATTTAGCCATTTAGATCAGCTGTGTTGGATTAAGGACACATCTAAAACCTGCAGGACACTGGCTCTCGGGTTCCCTACCCCTGGCCTATACGCTTCAAGGCTTGACAGGTAATGTGTTTAGAGATGCTCTTCTGCATAGCTCTGTCATAAAGAGCGGTTATTAGAGTTACTGTTGCTCTTCTATCTAGGCAATCTGGCCATACTCCTTTGACATCAATACGACATTTTAGCCCAGGCAATCAGACCAACCCTTATATCAGCAACAATCATGCGACATTCAAAGTACTTTAAATCATCCCATTCTAATGCTAAGGTTGAACTTCATATCTATATTAACTAGCGTCCATGTGACAGCTGATTATATTTGTGTTAACAAGCAGTTGAACCACTGTACCTAACAAAGTGGCCAGTGAATGTTTGTACATTACAAAAGGCAAAATAGACTTGATAAAATACAACAGAAGCTGTGCTTGTGTAGACAGGTGAGTTGGTGAAGATAAGAGAGTATGTGTTCTGTCAGTCCTGTGAGACAGATGACTGAAAAACGTGCAGAAAAAATGCACGTGGTGGAGACAAACTGTCAGGACCAACGACTGCTCTTGCGATCCTCCACACTTTAAATCCAGATGTTGAACATTATAATTATTAAACATCTAGATTTATCTTTGTCTTAGATATCAGGTTGACTGCAGTCCTCATGTAAGAATGACACCTATATAAAAAGGAAGAAAATATGAAGTGCTTTCACAGTTTAAATAACAAAAGACTTTGAGTACAGGTGATAAAAGGTGATAATTACATTCTTTTGTAAGCGACTTGGCCTCACACTAATAATTGCTGCAATTCCTTGTCCAAAAATCAACAGTCAGGTCTCAAGACTGAACATAAAAAGCTAATGATATCAAAATGATTATGAATACACAGACTTAGATTCATTTATTTTAATGAAAGGGTATGACATTGTCATGATCCTAAAAATGGACTTCCCTGGAACCTCTGCTATGTGCCATGAAAACCATAAGAAAACGAGACTGTCACTTTCCATTAACAGCGCACACACTTTGCTATCAGTCACTTCACCCTGCATCATTACTAACCTACTCTGTCAGTGTGTTGAGTGAGCTGCAGGCAGGGTGGCACAGCATCGATCATCCTTTGTTCGGTGAGGAAAGGCAAGTGTAATGTCACCGGTAACTACATGCAACAAATAACTGCAACAGTGAGTAGAAACCATGTACAGCAGTAGTAAGAAAAGGAAATATTGAAAACCAACAGCCATTTTTAAACCGCTAATGCTGCAATTGTGCGATGCTGTGGGGAACACATACATCAAGTAGTTGTGTTAGTGTGTTGGACACACTGCAGCGCTAAGTCTCTGCATGGTAAGGAACACTGTGACCTGTCTCCACTTGACCCGTCATATTATTCTTATCTTTGCCTCAAAAAGTGCCCTCCATCTCAGAGAAAATAGATGAAACAGAAATGAAGGCAAGGCTGTAATTTTCCTTGGAGAAGCTTCACCTTTTTATTTTTAAAAAGACATTGTACTGTGCAGTGAAAGGTGGATTCCACATATACCTTTTAAGCAGCAATCTTGCACTTAATCTACCTGCTAAAGAGTGCTGAGGGTAGTGTCATATAAAGGTAATATTTCTGAGAAATGAAAAATAGTTTATTATAGCTGAACACTGCACTTGATTATAAAGGTCTGACATGTGCTATTCCAAAGGGATGAACGATTTGGGGTTGTTTTTTTTTTGCGTGTAATGAATCTGTACTGCAGGTAAAATGCATTTGAAAATGAAAATAAAGATATATGCTTGACTGAAAAACAAAAAAAGCCCAGTCTTTCAATTACCCCTCTGCAATCACAGGTTGTGTTTCTGCTTCACTTCTTACCAGTACAGCCACTTACTAGATTCTAAAAATTTCCTAAATCCAAAAGAATAGTCCAATATGTGTGTGCAATCGATACAGCTGCTCAGAGACTATTTTCTTTCATATTGCCTTGTGCCGGTGATAATCAGGGTAACGGCAGCAGGCACTGTGCTCAACCTGAGCTAAGCCTTGTTATCTGCTGGAGGTGTCAGGGATTGTGGGTGACACCTCTCAAATCTACTACAAATACTTTCACAATGTGGTTCTCTTTACATTTCAACAAAGAACACGAAATATGAATGCAATGTTGTTCCCCTGTTTGCGTTTTCTTTTGGATAAATACCACCAGACATGCGTGCTGTCAGATGCTTTTGTTAGACTGTATAATTGAAAAGATATTTGTAGAAGGAGAGACCTACATTACACCTGCTTACAGTCTCTGGACACTGCAAGCTGACAGTCTAGAAACAATACAGCATTCATTTCATAGCTGATTGAATCCTAATCAATACTGATTTCCCTCGACAAAGATGATGAATCCATTCAATACATCAATATTGCGTGTTTAAAAAAAAGAAAGATAAAGGACTCACGTGATGGTTTAGCTGAAAAATGAGTTTCAGTGAAGCCAGGATGAGAGAAAATGATGCTCTGAACAGGTGTGAATCCTCAGGGATTAGAGTTGGAGAAGAAGCTGTGCACTATAACAACCAAAGCGATTGTGTCAGAGGCAGCAGCGAGAGGAGCACAGCTATAATTGTGCTTAGAGCCCCTTCAGGTGCCAAAGACCCTCTGAGGACCGTGCTCTGCTGTCACACAGTGGTGAATTTATTCAATTGCATCCTGAAAATGAAACCAGCTGCAAGTGCTGACAAGAAGACACTGAAGACTCAGGAAGCAGAGTTGAACCGAATTTATTGATGAAGAGCAAGTTTGATAAAGTGGTCATCTTTGTTCATTGGTAATTTAATGTCATAATCTAGACCCAGTCTGGATTTTAGTCGCCTTTAGAGTGTATTCAGATAGGGCTGCACTCTTTTTCATTGTCAGACTTCATCACCACCTTAACAGAGCAGGCCTTCTCATTCACAACCAGCTCACACTCCTCAGGAACATCTACAGTGTTTGCATCGGGGATCCTATGATACAAAAAGAAAAAAAGAAATAATAATAATCAAAAACAATTTCAGGGGTTTTGTTCATTTAGTAACTCTTAAATTGGAAGTTATCACCGTTAAAGCCTAAAAAGAGAACTTATCACCGTCCTACGAGTAAGAAAGCTGAGAGAAAAGAGGTTTATTTGTTTAAAGAAAAAATGCCTTAATGATTAACAAAAAAAACAATAATGTGGAAGTCTTACTTGCTACAGCAGCTCAAACCCTCGCTTGTACAAGAGCAGTCCATGCAGTCTCTCACCCATGCAGAGTCAAAATCATGCAGCTCTCCATCCTTATCCACACACCCTACATGTAAAGAAATGAAAACACAGCTCAACTCAAAGGAGTTGTTGACTTACTTACTCAGAGGCACTCCTTACTTGTGTTTAAGCATCTATTAGTGTATGCATAGGTGTGGTTAAGGGATTAGATGTGGAATAAATGTCTAATATCTGTAAATCATGACAGAGAAACCTTTCCCCCACACCCAGTGTCCTGCTGCACTGCTGCAGTATTGTATCTGTACAAGAAAGGTCTCATGTGACTCACCTTTTGGAGGGTTATTTGGATCTTTGACCTCTAACTCCTCAAAGAAGCATTGAGAGTGACAGAGCACAACGAGCCCCAGCAGACAGACAAACACATGTAGAGAGGACTGAAAGAGAAACACATTTCATACTAAAGTAATTTCTATCCTTTTAAGACCTTTAACATGACAGGAAATGGCCAACTACTGCTTCGACTAACAACTATTCTGTTCAGTTGACACAGTGTATACACAGTTGTACCTTATATCTTACATAACCCGAGGCGTGTGTAAATATAAAATACAATTCTGAAAAAGCAAAATGATTTGCAGGTGTCATAAACTCAGTGTTTAAACTAAAATATTTTACTAATTCATGAAAATTATGAGCTTATTTTGAATCTGAATTGACAGTACCACATCTAAAAAAAAAGTAGGTACAATTACTAAAAAGAAAGTCAAAGATTTGTAATTAGGTTCATTGGCAACAGGTTAGCAACAGGACTGAGCAGAGGTTTACCAATCTGCAAAAATCTGCCTCTACAAATTGTGGAAGAATTTCAGAATAATGTGACCCAACATAAACTGCAAAGACTTTGAATATTTCATCATCTACAGCACAAAACATCATCCAAAGATTCAGAGCATCTGCAGAAATCTCTGTGCGCAGGAGATACGGCTGAAAACGAATTCTGGACGTTTCATCTTTGGTCCATCAGGCAGGACGAGATTAAGAACAAGGATGAATCTGTCACGGAAATCCCTGCATGGGCTCAAAAAAAACCACTTCCAGAAATCACTGTACAAAGTTAACTGTGTCATCCACAAATGCCACTTAAAGCTCTATCATACAAAGAAGAAGCCATATATGAACATGATGATGAAAAGCCACCATCTTCTCTGACCCAAAGCTTATTTAAAAAGGACAAAGTGAACCAAACTTTTGGTCGATCAAGAAATAGTTTTGTGGACTATATAGTTAAAAAAAGAGTGGATGCAACACAGAGATAAACAGGGAAGCTTTGGTACCATTAAATTAATTTGAAAAAAATGTTAAATTTTCTCTTTTTAAACACTGGTATGATTTACATATTCTATGGTGAATAAAACATGGGTTTATGAGATTTAAAAATCTGTTTTCTTTTACATTTTATAACATTTTTGGAACTGAGTTTGTGAAATATATACACTCTGACAACAATTACGTGATTGAAATCTCATAACTATTCATATTTACATTTATACTGAAAGTTATTTTAAAAAATAGCTGTGATTAGAGAATATATAAAAGAAAGTGTAAAATACGTACCATCCTCAGTTATGATGTATCCCAGCCAACAGAAAAACTGTGTGTGAAAATTCGGTAGTCACGGATTTTATTAAGGTGTGACTCCCATGTATATCATTATGATAATATTTAAACAGTGACGAACGTTTTTTATCAAATATTTGTTTTAAGGTGGAGAAGACCAGCAGGTTATGTTGAAACTGCATATCAAAAACAACATTTTCACCAGCGATAGAAATGGTTTGTTTCTTCTCACGAATCAAACTCAAGCACAGTGAAAAAGCAGCCGTGAAATAATTAGTCAGAAAAACAAAAGTTATTTTCCTTGTCTAGCAACTTTTATTCCTGAGCCAAAAGGCAGAGATTGATTACTTGCATCGATAAACGATACGCTTTGTAAACAGTTAAAGAGATAAAGTTTGGATCAGACCTGCCAGAGTAAACACTGCACTTTTGAACCTTTGCTTAAAAAAAAACAAACTGCTTTTAAAGCTTTATAGGCAACAGATGATATCTCCATGTTTCTACAGTCACCACTTAACAATCAGTAAAAAGAAATAAAATTAAAAAAAAATCGTAGAAAACCATGACAGAGTATCAAACTGGGATAAAGAAACAATTACACATATAAGGTTTAATGTGCAAAATATACATTTTTTGCAATGAATACTCACATACTTTATTGAGTTTAACTCTGAATATAGGGAGCTCTATGTCAGTGGTGAATTCATCTTAGTGCAAGTGAAATAAAAGACATTTTTTATGTTAGTGCAGAGGATTTTTTTTTTTTTTGCACATCTAAAGAAACGAGTGCTCCTTTGGTAGCAGCTATCCAACAGGTGTCAGATATGTTTGCAGCAAAGCCTGAGCTCTGAGGCATCACCACCTCAACTCCCGAAGAGGCACAACTACAGTATCAACCCACAGCTATCTCATTAGATTTCTGCTGTAATTATCAAGTACCACCAAAAACCCAAACCACCACCGAACAATAAACAAACCCAAAGCAGAAGCTAAGAATGACAAAAGTGATCATTTAAAGGCAAATCTTCAAAGAAAATAAATGTACCTGCATCGCTTAGCCAACAAATAAATCTCATTCTTTTCCTTTGGCAGTGTGCAATTACATTTAAAGGTACTGCTCAACATTTTGAGACAAACACTTATTCAGCGTCTGATATAATGTACATATGAAACTGACTTTTTGGAGTCATGTGACTGCTAACCACGTGATGTTAACTTTTGCCATTTTGGACATGTGACAATATAGGCCAAGTAAATAAGGCCCCACTCTCACAGGTGTAGAGAACATTCAGTGACCCCGAACCCCACCAGTTACTAGGGAAAAATGAGTAATCCCCTACTGGTTGGCAAAAACCTCTTTGAGATTATTTTGATTCCCCATAGTTAGCATGAAAGACAGCAACTTGTCTGCAATCACTCACCAACTGCTCTCCAAAAAGTAGTGAAACTGTGAGAAGTCCAACAAACAGAGACTATTTGACTTTAAAGTGAAAGCAGAAGTTGAGTTTTAAAAATAACATTGTAAACCGTGAGAAACAGCTTTTATTTTGGAGACAATCTCCATTTCTGGTTTGCGCTACACTTTTTCCAAGTTTCACTACCACTCAGTGGTTAGTAAGAGAGTATTTCCACTTAAGTTGGTATCTTCCATGCTAACTACAGACGTTTACAATGATCTTCTTGCAACCACGGCAATCACAGGGTGAATGTATTTTTCTTAGCAACTGGTGGTTGTATCATGTCCAACATGGTGAGAAATCTGTTGTCCTGTGAGAAACCTCTATAGTTAGCAGCCAGACAGCATAGCTTAGCTTAGCGTAAAGACCAGAAACAACCAACGACGTTTATCCAAAGTTAAAAAATAAAAAAATAAAAATCCAAACAACAAATATCAAAACATCAGTATTACTAAAACTTGATGTTTATAAAAAATAGTTTATCATTTCAAATGTGCTGGTAGTGTACCCTTAAACAGACCCTGGTCAACTATACCCCGGTTTCCAGTCCATGTGCTAAGCTTAGCTAAATGTCAACATAGAAGTTAGCTAACTTCTATATTGACAGCTAATCTAACATGTAAGAAAGTATTGTTCCACAACTGTCACTTTTATCAGAGAAATTAATCAAAGAGAACATGTTTTTAAGTTTTTTTGTATCATAAATTATCAAGTTTTTTCACTAAGGCATTCACATTAGAGTCCCATGCATGTTTCCACTACTGTAACTTCAACTTTATCCAATCAGAGTTTTCATGAAGGCCGGTTTACTGAAGGGCCAGTGATACTGGTTGGGGACGGGTCCATTCACGTTACACTCAAAAAAGGAGAACATGGGGAACCAAATGCGTGCCCTTCGGCTATGCTGGTAGGCACGAGTGTTAGCTAAGGTGTGATAGTAGAGGAAGAGGCGGGTGGTGATGTAGAAGGCGATGAACACGTCGATGGAGTAGTGCTCGTGAGCAGCCAGGATGAAGAAAATCCCAAACAGGTTTAACACCCAAGATATGGTGTGAATCAGATTCCATGTTCGTGGAGTATCTGCAATTAGGAAACATAATTATAAGACATGCTCAGTGTATTTTATGTATATCCAAAGCTTGCAGACATCCTTGGTACTAGTTTATTTTGAGCTGGACAGCTGGTATGAGATATTTGTGCTGATATACTTTGTTGTTGCCAAATGTGCCACTGTGCATTTTGTCCAGACATATCCACTTTGGTCTTCTCTATCCAAAAGACATTTTTCCAGAGGTTTTGTGGTTTGTTGAAAGGAAGTTTTCAAAGCTTAACATTAATGCCATGTTCTTTTTAGGGAGAAGAGTCTCCTGGCAACTCTTCCAAACAAGCCATACTTGTTCAGTCTTTTTCTGATTGATGGACTTCAAATAGTTTGGAAATGGACTTTAACTGCTCCCAGACTGATGGGCAGAAACAACTGTTTCTGATACATTTCATGTTTGGCATTGTGTTAACACTTGTCTAAATGCTCCAAATCAACAAACAGCCGCTGCAAACCTCTACTGTGATAGAGGTGCTCACACTTGCTGATGATCAGATATTACTTACACTTGTTTCTACTTGTGGTCTTGATTCCTATGACAGCAGTAAGCCTGTGCTTAGTTGTTTTATGCACTACTTCTGCATTTTGGCTTATCTATTGTTAAATAAATAATGACATGAGGTGTATTTAAGGGAATTTAAGACCTGCTGAGGAACAGGTGATTTATAAAAAAATTAAGTCCCAATACATAAAACCTTAGAGTTAAAAGAAGGTGTACTTTCCTTAATTATAATCACATCATTTCTTTCCTACTAGTAAAAATACAAGACCTAACAAGAAAGTACACTCTCACTAAACTCATTGAAAGCCGAACAAAATAATGAATCCTCACATTCAGTCACAAAGAAGTTGAGCATCGTGATGACAACAGTGTGCCCACTGAACATGTAGTCTCCACAGGTTTGCACGCCTGTCAGAGTCATCCCAAATCCACTCCAGATTGTTAGAGCCCTCTGTATCTTTCCCCAGGTGTCACCATATGTCTGAGGGACAAAAAAAACCCCTCCAGTAATTAGTCATGCTGTGAATCACAGTGGCAGCTGTTTATTAGTTATCACCGCAGTACAGCTGAGTGATCAACTGAACTGTAACACTGCCAACAGCAATGAGAATAAAAATTAAAAAAAACTCCAGGAGGAAAAATGATTTGCACTTCCCACCTTGCTGGCACACTTCAGGTGCTGCCCTGGCACAGAAAGCGAGGTGGCAAACATGGTGCAGCAACGAAGCAAAAACACCGTTCCCATTAAAGAACACAGCCGCCTGAAGAGGATGGACCTGAAACACAGACGCACGCCCAACTCAGTGTAATGTGATGGCAGCAGCTAGGAATGTGCAAACTGCAGAAACGGGACCTATGGGCTACCTGTGTTTGTGAAGGAGCAGGATCAACAGAAACATGTAACATAAGATGAGACCACAAGCTTCAGCCATGGCAAAAGCCCAAGGAATTCTGGGTACACTGTTAAGAGTACAAAAACATGCATATCAGAAAGCAGATAAGATATGAGTGCAGCTCAATGTGTACGTGAACTATGGAGCTTACGTTGCTCAACAATCCCTGGAACCACCATATACTGTAGATACTTATCAGTGCAAAATATGCAAAACATATAAAATATGCAAGCTTGTACCTGTCCAGGAATATATCAGGCAGCGGTGGGTATGTCCTCATGTCAGGGACGCGCTCATGTACGATGACCATGACAAAAGATGTGAATCCAAAAACAAGAAAAACATATATGGAACTGATGACTGTTTTCCAAACCTCTGGGTCCAATCTACCAGCTAAGTGCTGCCTACACCTCCCGTTGGAGTGTGTGTGACACAGCACCGCTCCTGAGCTGTATCCAGATCTATTGCTGTTCCTTGACCGCAGCTCAGTCCCGTTACACAAGCGATCACCTCCATTACACCCGTCAGCTCCATCGCAGCTCCACTTGACCCCAGTAGTGCCTGTGGAGAGCCCGGCGGGAAGACTGTCCGAAGGTGAGAGGCCCAGCTCCTCTAGCTGGGCCTGGTTTTTTCTCTGGAGCTGGCGGAGGGCTATGGTTAGCCTTTTGATGTCTCCCAGCACCGTGAGGCCCAGAGGAGGACCCCTCAGGTCGGCCTCAGTCAGAGCCAGCAGACTGAGGCCGTCCAGGCGGTGCTGTGTGCACAGTAGCTCCACATACTGCCCAAAACCTTCTTCCTTCAGCCACTGGGCCACCTGCTTACAGCTCCAGGCACTCACATCATCTTCCGACAGTGCCATGCTGCTGCAGAAACAAACACTGTTAAGTAACGTGGGGTAAGACAGATAAAAAAATAACTGAAATTACAGCGGCAGAGAAAAGAAGTATGAACACGCACACACACTGATGTTCTGACTGATCAAAGGGTGCTGTTAACAATTCTCTAAAGCTTGATAATTAAGTGCCACTTCCTCCTCTGCATTTTGATCACTTGATTTCATAACTGTTCAGTGCCATTCTTTTAATGCAAAACTGCCTGAAGCTCACCCACTGACACTTCTACTCAATTTGCATGAAAATTAACACGAGCACTTTCCCCGCTGTTCATATCATACAGCGCTGCAGTTATATAAATTATTCATAAGTTTGCTGATTATTCTCCACAGTGTAGCGGTTTACACATTCGAATAACAAGCGAGAGATCGCTGGTTTGATCCCCGGGAAGAGTCATGAATCTCTTTGGTTCATCCAGAAGATCATCTGGGGTGTAGATCTGCCAAATTAAATATGCGGAAAAGCCCGCTGTGGCGACCCGTTATGAATGACAGAGCAGCTGAAAGTAGCTTCTTTATTCTCCAAACCATTCATGTTTTTTTTTTCTTTTTTGGCATGAAATTTGATTTAAAAAACCCCCCCCCAAAAAAAGCAGCATCAGGCACAGCAGCATCTCAAATGTCTTGTTTGGAACAAAACAGTATAGTAACCAAAGTAAAACTAAATGAGAGCAAATTTCAACAAATTTATTGTTTCTTTAGTAAATATATGGGTTAGAGGTCTGTTATTTTTGTCACAGATAAGCATATCCATCATGACTTCTCAAAAACTGGGATTTGTAATCCAGCCGTCCCAGAATTGAAGCCACTTTGATAATTTAGAGATTGTTAGATGGACAAAATGAGTCCTTTCAAGGTCAAGGCAAATTGTTATTGCCGTATTTTACAGTTTTCACATTTTTGGTCACTTTAACAATTAAAAAGTCATCATTTTTAATCAGTAAGTGCAGGGTTAATTAGCCGAGGGGTTGGCTGCCTGCTTGTGCTCTTATTTAGTGAAACTCTGCAGTGCACGCTGCAGCCTGCTTAGCTGGTTTTGCATCATCTGTGTTCAGGTCAGTGACTGTACGTTAGCACTTTGTCCTGCTTTAGCCAGGACAGAGTGTCCCACCTAAAGCAGGAATTCAAAACCCCAAAACAGTGAGTCACTAAAAAAAACCACAGGAGACTATAATCAATCTTTGCTTTGCAGTTCGCTCATTTCTGCCCTTTGAACTTCTGACAAGCTCACCACTGTACAGCTCCACTCGTACTCCAAAGGTCTACAAGTTCAACCAACACGGCTGTAGTACTGTACCGATGGCCTGCCTGCTGAGTCGACACTATATACAGCCTTGAAATTTTTATTTTGTACTGAACCAAACCGAGAAAATCCAGGAATAATTCTTTTTTATCATAACAGGCTCATTATGGAGATGACTGATTGAATGATTAGCTGATCAAGCAGCAAAAAATTAACTGACAAAATTCATCAAACAATCCCTCTAAGAAGCAGAAAATCTGGTAGTTTCTGGAACGTGCTGTACATTTTTTCGTAATATATTCTGACATTTTAACAGCTAAACATTTATGACAAGATTAATTGATTTAAAAATAAAACAGCCTAAATACTAGATTCTAGCCTCAAAGCTTTTGTTGGTGGTTTCTGAATTTTGCCTTCAGCCTGACAGCCACACCTAGTATGACATCACTCCTCTGACACTGGTTCAGTTTGGCACTGAAAGTCACCGCTGATGAAAATCCCTGAAACCTACAAGCAGCTCACTCACCGAGGCGTGTGCAGATCTGCTCCCTCAAACAGAAATAAGTTATTTTTAACTAGCCTCGAGATTTTACTGGCAACATCCCGCAGCTACTTGGGATATAAAAGTGCCATGTCAGCTTGTTTGGCTGGCTTACAGTGAGTCACAGTCAGGCAGTAGGACACAGCTCAGTGTGTGTGTGTGTGTGTGTGTGTGTGTGTGTGTGTGTGTAAGAGAGAGCGAGAGAAAGCCCTTCAGTGTGTGAGAGAGACAGAGGCAGCTCAACAAAGAGCTCATAGTGTCTTTTCACCGCAGAGGCTACAATGTAACGTCAGATTGCAACATTTCACTACTAGCTCAGCAACTTTCTTCACATGAACAAAAATGTTCAACTTAGAGCAAACACGTCACAGGAAGTCCACTTTATTATCCAATGATCGTCTCACTTACCAAACATCCACTGTCACTGCGCTGCTACAAGGTGCGGATGAGCCGTCTGTTTACTCCACCGCTCATAGGAGTATTTCACAGCCAACATGCTTCGGACTACTAAGCAACAACAAACAGGAAGAGGCAACAGCAAACAAAAAGCAGCCAAGAGGAGCAGGATGCCTCCTGCGAGACTTCAGCTCAAAGGACACTGACATCTGCTGGTTACACATGGAAAGCCTGGGATTTCTATAATCCGTCAACTTTGACTGTTTTATTGTGGTTTTCGTTCTTAAAACAGTATTGTCATTCTTGCCTTGGCATTCATTTTTCCCCCTTTATAACATTCAAACTTTTTTATATGAGGTTATGTTATACATCAATATCTCATGCATGAACTTAAGCTATGTATAAGTGAAGAGTGTGCTATCGTTTTAGCAACAAATCATTGATGAAATGAGCTGTTTTCATTGTCATTTTGGGGCATTGAATATTAGTGTCAAGCCGACTGCAGCAGTAAATGTTGTTACTCTTTTAGCCGTGAAAGCATCATTATGTAGAGGAAAGTAGGAAGAAAAGTTAATACAAACTAAACCTATAATGTTAAAAACATGTGCCATCATTCACTAAGCAAATGCTTATTAGAGATTACAATAAAACTGCATTTACGTATGCAGACATGGTACCTACTAAAGCTTCAGAATGGGGAATAAGGGTGATTTAAAAGTCTCTAAATGTGGCATTGTTGCTGGTCTGGTCTGAGTATTTCAGAAATGGCTGACTTACTGGGATTTTCTTGCATAACTGTCTTTAAGGTTTACATAGAATGGCCCAAAAAACAGAAACTATTCAGTGAATGGCAGATCTCAGAGTGAAAATGCTGCTGGGAATTCTCATTATGACCAAGATATGCAGAAGAGCATGGATAACACACGATAACACACCTTTCTTGAACATAACAATGAGTTTATTGTACTCAAATGGTCTCCTTGGTCTCTCAACAGATAATTATATTCTCAACATAAATGTTTTTAAATAGTTTTTTCTATCACGTTTAAGTAGATCTCATGTCATACCTTTCCTACAGATTGTACCGTTGAGTCTGTCATAACTGGAAAGCAAGCTTGAGAGGCTGACTGAGAGCCAGTGCCAATGAGCCACCTGTTTTTGACAGTCAGAGGCTGAGTGAGGTGGAACTGCTACTGAAAGAGAGTCAAGGCGAAGGCAGCAGAGTGCAGCTTGGTTTCATTTTGGTAAAGAACAAAGCAGACCGTCTGCCATTGTAAAAACTTTGCAATGACAGACAGAAAGTCCTCCTCAGGTGCTGCCACAGGGATGATATGTGATATACAAGATTTGGAGCCAAAACAGGAGAAGTGTGTGGCAGGGGGATCAGAGAGAAAGTGGGAGATCCCATCTCTCCAGGATCTGGAGGAGGTTTTACACTCAGCTCCACGCTCCTGTCGACATGGAGACGAGGTGTGGCCGAATCTGTTTCTGGGAGACATGTGAGTATCGTGAGCTGGATTTAAATTCAACGTATGCACATCTGGATTGTATTCATGTGTTACATCTGCTGTTTGTGTCAGGTTTATGTCTCATGACAAGTTTGGGCTCTACCAGCTAGGGATCACTCATGTGCTGAATGCCTCACATGGTAAACTCTGCTGTAAAGGTAGTGATGATTTCTATGGAACCACAGTGAAATATTACGGAGTCCCTGCCAACGACCTCCCCACATTTGACCTCTCGCCATATTTCTACCCCGCAGCTGAGTTCATTCACCAGGCTTTGACATCAGGAGGTACTGCAAGCAGATTTTCAGAGAGGATGATACAGATCTGAGTTTTCATTATATTTGTTTCTGCCTTTTCTGACTTTCAGGGAAAGTGTTTGTACACTGTGCTGTGGGTGTGAGTCGTTCAGCTGCATTGGTCCTAGCCTACCTGATGATTCATCATCACCTCAGTCTGTTGTCCTCTATACGTTGTGTGCAGCAGAAGCGCTGGATTTTTCCCAACAGAGGCTTCCTGCGACAGCTCATAGACCTGGACCAAAAACTGCAGGATGATGGTTTAAATGAGTAAGAAAGCCAGAAACAACCCTCTATTTCCTCCTCCATTTGCACCATTTATTGCATGTATAAACCAAAGTGTTCAGCTTCATTCACTCCCCTCCCCTGTCCTCTTCTAATGTGACATCAGTGGTATCAGAGCGAGCTCCTGAATTCTCCCCCTGGGGTTTTTTAGCATCAGTGAACAGACCAATCAATGCTACAGCGTTACAACATTAAATAACTACATCCAGACAGTCCGAGAGCACACTGAACACAGAGAGCTAATTTTGGAGCCAAGCAGCGTTCAAACAACCACCTGCTCATGCCTCTCACCGAGCTGTAGACTTCGGTGGGAAGGGGGACGGTGGGCACAGACAGTCAGAGCAGTGCGGGGGTGTGCTGAAGGAGCAGTCTGCGTCCGGGGAGAATGTCAAGGAGCAAACAGCTACAGGACCTGCTACTCATTAAAGAACTGGAGGTCATCTTGGATTCCTGCCCTGTGGGGCTCACACCGGTGGATGAAGTCTGGCCCAACCTGTACATAGGAAATGTGTGAGTGTGCTTTTGTACAACATCTTTCTGAATTCTGCTGGAGAGAAATGCCTGCTGAAAAGGAGAATTTGTATTCCTTTTACATTTAAGTTATTTAGCATTTATAGACACTAGACATGGCTGTTCTATTCTTTAGTTTTACTCTTTTTTCCATCTTTTTCCATGTCTACAGGGCTGTAGCACAGAATAAAAAGACATTGCATAAGCTTAGCATCACTCATGTCCTGAACGCAGCGCACTCCAAGCAGGGCAGCATTGGTGACCAGAGTTTTTATGGGAACACCTGCGTTTACTTTGGCATCCCAGCGGAGGATTCAGAGGACTTTGACCTCAGTCAGTACTTTAAACCTGCAACTGACTTCATACACAAAGCCCTGATGAGCAAAGATGGTAAACTGAATGTGAATATTATACTGTTTTTTTTTCTTTTCAAGAGCTGGCCCTCATGATATTTTCCATCCTTTTCTACAGGAAAAGTTCTGGTGCACTGCATCATGGGTGTGAGTAGATCGGCCACTTTGGTCATAGCGTACTTGATGCTGTGGCAGCGTCTTACTCTGAGAGATGCTCTGAAGCATGTTGTCCAAAAACGAGCCATTTACCCCAACCGGAACTTCCTGTCCCTCCTCCTCAAGCTGGATGAACAGCTGACACGAAAGAGGAGGCTGTGTCCTATTCTCTGACAGCCTTTGCTCCTCGCTGCACCTTCATTTGATTAATGAACACCTCTCCATATGTAGAACTCCACTCTAATTGGCGATCAGTAGTTTGTAAATATGATGTGTAATTAGATTTTGTTTGATGTAGTTGCAGGTGTAAGTCTGGAGTGACCTTTATTTATTTATTTTTATTTTCGAGGTTGTCTGCTGCCTTTCTACAGTCCAGCAGCAGCAGCGCTCACACTGAGCCTTTATGTCATGTTTCTCCTGGTTTGTTTTTCATATTTAAATCATATTCAAATGTTCTCTGTGAGTGTTAGGAGTCCTGCTCACATGCTTTGTACGGACAGTTTTATGAAACCCATTAATGTTTTGTCAAATCTCACTTAAATTGTTTGGTCAGATGCACAATGTTCAAAAATATGTATATCTGACTTCTAACAAGGTTTAACCTTGAACAGTTTTCCTGATAAGACACCTACTTTTTTAGTCAAGGATTCCTCAAATAAAATAATTATTTGTTTCATTTTGCTTTTTTTTTTTTATTGCCAACAGCTTACTTAATATTGCCTAATCAATCTGACAGAAACAGGTATGTTTAATTGCTGAGCTGTATATCTTAACAGTGCTCTGTTTGATTGAGATCTGGTGACTGTGGAGGCCATTTGAATTCAGTGAACTCATTTAAATGTTCAAGAAAGCAGTTTTTATTGATCTGAGCTTTGTGACACAGTCTTTCATCCTGCTGGAAGCAGCCATCTGAAGATGGTACAGTGTTGTCACAAAGGGATGGACATGGTCAGCAACAATACTCAGGTCAACTGTGGTGTTTAAATGATGCTCAGCTGGTACTAAAGGGCCCAAAGTGTATCAACAAAATATCTCTACAATCATTCCAGCACCATCAGCTTGAATGTCGCAGCAGAAATCGAGATTCATCAGAACAGCTGATGTTTTTCCAGTGTGCTGTTGCACAATTTTGGTGAGTCTGTGCAAACTGTTCTTTTCTGACAGGAGCCACACCCACTGTGGTCTTCTGCTGCTGTAAGCCAAAGTTAAATGTGATATACGTTCGGAGGTCCTCTTCTGCATACATTTGTTGTAACAAGTTGACCTTGACAAGTGGTTACATGACTTTATACTGCCTTCGTACCAGCTTGAAGCAGTCTGGCTTCAAGATGACCTTTTTAGACAGAGTTGTGTGGGGAAATCACATTAGATAAATGGACTGGTTCATATATAGCGTTTTTCTACTTCACCTGAGCACAAAAATTCAAAAATTCAATAATGTGAAGTTATACAACTTTACACTCATTCATACAAGCGCTTTCCCCCCCAAGTAAGTGCTTTTTATCTAACATTCATGTACATTCATACTCTTTTGGATGCATCGCAGAGCAACTTGGATTAGTATCTTGCCCAAGAATATTTGACATAGGAGATCTAACCACTAACTTTCCATTCAGTAGATGACCTGCTCTACCTCCTGAGCTGCAGCCACTTGTAGATCAGCAGTTTCAGGAATATTTAAGGTTGTTGGTGCCTGTCTGCTGCCAACAACAATGCCACATTCAAAGTCACTTAAACCACCTTTCGTCCCCTATCCGGTGGTTAGCTTCAACTTCAGCAGGTCAACTTCACCATGTGTACATGCCTGAATGCAATGACTAGCTGCCATGTAAATGTAAGTCATTAGATATTTGCATTAACAAGCAATTAAACAGGTGTACTGAACAGACTGGCCTGTGAGTATGTATCGAAATGGAAGTAGCCATGGTGACATTACTTACTGGTTCCTGTTTTAAAACTTTGAGTCACGGTCACATTCTTGTACCTAATAAAGTGGCTGGTCTGTGTACATAAACAGTTTTAAAACGATGGCAAAGCAAAGGTTTATTTACTAAGTTTGGTCATTAGTTGAACTTAGACGCATGAAAGGCAACTCTGAAGTGTCAGTTTAAAGGGTAATTGATTTGTCAGGATGAGGTTGGTAGTGTCTGGACCAACTGGAGACCTATTACCACTGTGGGTTTTGTGTCCGCACGCAGAGGAAACCTTGAACAACAGGAAAGAGTTCAAGCAGGAAATGGTTAAACAAACAAGAAATAAATTCAGCTTGAAAAAAGCAGATAAAAGCACTTCTGCTACCACACAAGCTGACAGAACAAACTGGTGGAGACTGGTAGATATAGTGCTGGGCCTTGATTGGATGATGAAGTGTAGGTGTGCCATCAGGTGTTTGCTCAGGAGTAAGAAGAGACCCAAAAGATAAAAACATTATAATTCTGACAGGGACCAGAAAGAAAATATAGGATGAGAACTCCAAAATAAAAGTGAGGTTATGCCAACTGTTACTGTTGCACTATTGCACGCCTAAGGTCATGCAGTCTTCCTTTCTTTAATTGGTTATTTGATAGTAAACAGCCTAAATCAGTATGAGCAGATTAAAAGCAGATAAAGCTAATAAATCACTGGTGAATATCATCCACATCTCTTAAAGGGACAGAGCAGCAGGCTTTACTCTGCAGCAGGGTAGCAACACAGACACACGCAGAGCAGCCACGTGTTACATAACAGTCCACAGTCATCATGGAAACATGTGAGCTAATGTTAAAGTTCACAGGATAAGGCTCAGGGTTGCCCCATGAGAATGAAACATCAGGTCTGCATTCACCATGAATAAAATGGGTTTTGAGTGCCTGAACGGTGAACACAGTATGTTAGATAACTTTGTCACTTTTGAGTGTATGATTACAGAGTTATAAAAGGAAACAACCCCAGCTATGTGTGACTGTGATGAACAAATAAGAGCAGGCAGAGTAGGAGAGGAAAACGAAGCGCCTCGAAGTGAGGTAAGTTCATGAGATTGGGCTGGTTTGGGGGATCTTTCAGGTAAGAAACATTTAGAAAGAAAGCATGTGTGGCATCTTGAGAAAATCCCACTCTCAGGTCTGTGTGTTGTTAAAAGAAGCTGGGATGACTAATAAGTTTACATAACAAACATTAACATTTACAGAAGCTTTTCATAGTGAAGGGCTAATAAATGACATGTGTTTGTGCGATTTATGAGTGTCTGTGTGTTTGTACAGTATGTCTCTTAGGGATCCTCCGTATGAACCTCCCTCTGTCTCAGAGCTGCAGGAGTTTCTGCTCGCTGACAGACGACCGACTGGACATGTCAATCAAGTCTGGCCTAACCTTTACATAGGCAATGAGTATGCGTGCACATATTAACATGCACACACATCTATAAACATTCTGCACTCGTGCAGCACTGAGTGTGCTATTGTGTTTCAGGGTAGCAGCTCGTGACAAGGGCACTCTTCACAATCTGGGCATTACTCACATTGTAAATGCTGCTCATGGAACCCCCAACCCAGGCCACGGGCTCTATTTCTACGTCAACACTGGCCCGCGCTTCTACAGAGACATGTCAGTGGATTATTATGGTGTTGAAGCTGATGATGCAATGGACTTCATCCTCAGTCCATTCTTCTATCCAACAGCAAGATACATCAGAGCTGCACTAGCCATAGGAGGCAAGTGGGCAGGGTTACAGCATGTGGCTGGATTAGATCTCAGTGTCATACAGCCACACCATCTAATGAGATTAGATTTTATTCTTGACTAAAATAAGGAATCCATATTTTAGTTTGGATTTAGATTTGGTTTCTGGCTCCAGCTTTAAAATGAGGATTTCATTTATTAAGCGGAACAAGCTCTTCAAGCCTACCTGGCCTTATGTGAAAAAGTGATTGCCCCCTGAACCTATTACAAAGCAGCCCCAGAACATCACACAACGACCACCACATTTGACTGTTGGTATGACATCCTTATATGAAAAGCTGTGCTAGTTTTGCAGGAGACGTAACAGGTCTAAAACCTACCAGAAAAGTTCATCTTTTGTCTTGTCAGTCCACAGGCTGTTTTCCCCAAAGTCTTGGGGTATGATTAAGATGTTTTTTGGTGAATGTGAGACAAGCCTTTGTGTTTTTTTGGTCAG